CCGCTCCTCCTAGTCCTTGTAAGCGGCAAGGTTCGCAGATGCTTGCGATCATCAGTCAAGAAACAGAGTCCGCCTGCACCTTTAGTCTTGAGTACCGTCCTTGTCAATACACGCGTACGCCCGCACGACAACGCTTCCTGGACGTTCTCAACAACCACCAACACCTACACAACAAACATGCCCCCCCGCCCACCCCCCCACCCCACTCTTGCACCCGCGTCGCTTTCTCTCTTTTCCGCTCTGATCACCACCGCACTTTCACGATCTTAAACAACTGAAGCAACATTGCAACCACCAACACCTACACAACAAGCAGAGCCCCCCACCCCCACCCCCCTCCCCCCCACTCTTGCACGTGCTGCTTCACTCGCTTTCCGCGGTAACGATCACCACCACCCGACGCAGCGTGTCCCTCGAGAGGGGCGCGGACAGCTCGGAGGGGCCGGCGAGGTCGGTGGCGAAGCACGAGGCTGCGCTGTTCGCGCACCTGGCCGGAAATTCGGAGCTGCTGCTGGAGTCAGACTTGACCCAGTCCTGGCAAGACCAGGTGGGGTTTTCCACCATGTGAAGCATATTTTTTTGTGTGTGTGGGACGCATGCCGTCCATGCGGAATATGGGTTTTGTTTGGGACCAATTGATCAATTGGCAGGACCTGTGAAGTTCCATTTCTGCAGGATGTGTTTGTTGAAGTGTAGCGGATTCCGTACACGCGGATAAGGGTTTTGTTTCGGACCAATTGAGTAATTGGCAGGACCATGTGAGATTCCCCTCATGAAGCATGCTTTTTCGAAATGTAAGGCACGGATAGTTGAAGGAACCAACAAGAGACGGGACGGTTTCTAATGGAAAGATGGCAACAAACACAAGATGAACGTTGCACGCTGAATATGGGGTTGTTTTGTTACCGCCTGGACTGCTATTTACAGCAGTCTTTGCAGTCTCGTCCTTTGATGTTAGGTTTCACAGAGGTATGCCACACTGCTGTGAGCATTGCCTGTTTTTTCTCAATTCATCGAGTTAATTATCTCAAACTAGAGAAGTGGTGTTCTCGTCTCTGCGCGAGATTTCAGGAATAGTTGTACCACTGAAAGCTACCGTCGTTCGCGGCGCAATCAAATGTAGCCGTTATATCTAGGAAGAAGGGGCTCAGTATTGTGTATCCCCCCCCCCCCCCCCCCTAACCCCATGCCCAACCCCTCTTGTATCCGGCCGATTCCCTCCCCGTCTACGTTCTGTTCACATGACGCAGGCCTGGGTGCGATTCTCGGCGCTTCTTCATCTCAAGGTGCTAGACGAGCGCATCCAGCACCGACGGGTGCAGGCGGCGCGTAGTGCGCTTTACCCCGGGGTCTCATCGCTGAGGTGAGATTTTTCAAGTACAAGCGAAAAAAATCTGTTGCGAGAAAAAAATCTGTTGCGAGACAGCACACGCAGTAACAAAACCGACAGACACAGGCAGAGATGGTTGAGATTTTATCAAGTACGAGCGAAAAAAATTTGATTCGATTCGAGAAAAAAACTGTTTTTCCGAGATAGCACACACAGAAACAAAACCGACAGACACAGGGAGAGAGAGAACCGGAGCGAATCTGAACTGCTCTTGTACTCTCTCCAACCATCCATCGCCTTTACTTATTATAGTATCCCGTGTTGCCGCCAACCCTTCTTTTTTCTTCCCTGTCCATGTTGCATGCTGCTGCTCCTGCTGATGCTGCTCCTGCTGCTGATGAGGACGATGATGCTTTTATTTTGCTGCTTCAGCTGTTACTGTTACCGATGCTGATGCTGATACTTTCGCTGTTGCCACTTGTACAGGACCGACGAGCATCTTCTGGAGCAGATGACGCGGTCAGGACCGCCCACGAGCCACGGTGCGATCTTCGAGGTGCTAGACGATAACTCCAGGGGCAGAGTGCGTGCGGAGGGAAAGGGGGTTTACCGGCAGGTGAGGGTCATACCGTACGTGACGCTACCCCCACTCAGACCGACGTTCAAAGCTCGATTTCTCCACAACCATGAGATTGTGCTAGTACCAAGAATGGTGGCTTTGGAGCGCGTCTCGTCGAGGGCTTTCCGTAGACGTATCGGGTTCTTTCAGGCACCCACTTTTGGTTGTAGATTTTTCGTCTCTTGAGTGAGCTAGGTTCCACATGTTGGCCTGGGGTAGATCGTCCAAGGGGGTGCACGGTGATTGGACAAAGGAGTGCCCCCCCCCCCCCCCTCTTGGTCCCAGCCAAGGCAAGGGTGATGACCAGCTTCTGGGTCATTGTTGTGAAACGTGGCCTGGGCCAGCGAAAACCAGGCATATCGCTCCGTCATCCCGGCATTATTGTAGGGATACGAGGTCTATGGTCCAACGACTACGGCATGAGTTTACATGAGAACACCCCTGGGCCCATGCACACGCCCTCCGCTCGTGCTCATCGGCTACAAAAACCGCCTGCCGTGAAGTCGGTCTACCGATGTTTGTTTGAAGCCTCATTTTTTTTTTTTTTTCCTGTTGCAAATCCGGCTCACTTGCAGGCCCAGCAACCCACCAGCCGTGAGATCGGTCTATAAATAGCAATGTTTTGTTTGAAGTTTAAGTTTTTATTTGTTTTGTTTCCCCTGTTGCAATACCCTGCTTTTTTTCAGGCCCAGCAAGCATTAGTTCTCGGAGGCGGAGACATCCCGCTCTTCCTCAGGAACATCCTGTGGCGTGTTGCCGCCGGAGGCGCCGAGAGCGCCGACGGTGACAGCGGCGCCGAGGAGGGGAGAGGGGTCGACGACGGTTTTTCGGGGTCCCCGCGGGCGGAAGACATGCTGCTGCGGTCCCCCCAGCTGCTGCGGTTCGCGGCGCACCTGGCGCTGGTGCTGGCGGCGCAGTGCCCGTACCTGACGACGATGGAGGAAGGCACGCTAGAGGCGGTGGAGGACGTGGTGCACGCGTACGCCCAGCACTTGGCCAAGGCCCAGCAGGTATTCCCGGGATGGTTTCGCGCAGCAGTCTGCAGGCTTCTCGAAGTATGCAAGCATGTTAGGCTGGGTATGCGAGGGGTTTAAAGTATTGCGCCGCGCACGGCAACGCTAGGAAAAAGAACGCCAAGCGCCCAGACTCAACTTTAACAATCCCCGAGGTTGGAGATGGTGGTCTCCGGTCTCCAAGGCCTTTTGCCCGCTAGTTTGGACAGCCCACTGACCACAGGAACGGCGCTAGGTAGAAAAGCCTCAAGGCCGTTCCAGCCTGAAATGTAGCAAAGAAAACATTGGGGCTTGGATTGGCTTGCAAACAGCACAGCATGTCGACTGAACATACCGAGAGTGAAAGTCCCGTAACCCACAGAATATCATCATAGCGTGGCACCTACCTTGCCACCCTGTCAGCGCTGTCTTCCTAGTGGACACCCAGTCACTGCTGTCGATGACGCTGGCAGCGAGGTGCGCGTTGCACAGACCGGTTCTGACGGCGGTGTACTCAAGTATGCCTTCGGAAAGGGCGGCAAGGCTAACTCCTTCCAATGTACATTCATGTCCTCGCATCACTGCTGTCGATAACGCTGGCAGCGAGGTACGCGTTACATAGACCAGTTCGGACGGCGGTGTAGTACGCTTCCGAAAACGGGAGCAAGGCTAGCTCCTTCCGCTGGATGTCCATGTCCTCGCATCACTGTCGATGACGCTGGCAGCGAGGTATGCCTTGCTTAAACCGGTTCTGACGGCGGTGTAGTATGCTTTGGGAACCGGGGCAAGGCTAGCTCCTTCCGCTGTACATCAGGTCATGGCAAATACCGATGATATGGATGTACAGCGGA